AAAAATGTTTGTTGAATCTGGACTGAATCACGTCAACCTCACAGTAAAATAACAAATCATTAAATTATTCCCACATTTGCAATTAGTGTGTAGCACTCAAAGTACGGCTCATTGTGCCTACTTTTTGTTCTTGAGGAGTTGTTTTCCGTTGCGTGTTGAGTTTGGAGTGTACCGGGATACATTTGTCGAAGAGGGTGCTCTGTGTAGAACTCAAGTGGAGCTGATGGGGTACAAAAAAGGCCAGAAGTGGCCTTAATCCATCTGAAGCTTGAGGGGAATGAGCCAGTCTGCAGCCGCTTTGAAGTGGCATTATCGCTCACTTTCTCCTCGTCTCTTCTCACTGCTAACCCCCAAACTGCCCCTGGGGGAGTTTAATTACAGTGTATGGTATTGTGTGTGTGTGCGTGTGTGTGTATGTGTTTAGGACAGAGGAATATTTATGGTTGAGCCATGCAGATGAAGACGAAAAAGGATCTCAAGTGAAATGAGGTGAGAAATTGTGGTGGAAATTGGACGGAAAATAATGACTTGAAAGAAATTCGAACAACACAAAAGTGAAGGCAGACGGTGAGTGAGGAAGATTTAAGTCCAGCAGAGGGAATAATGGTGGGAGAGGTCAGGAAGAGGAAAAAAGCAGAAGGAAAAGTGTCAAGAGTGTGATATGGAGATAAGAAAAATGAGTTTCAGCCCATTGCTTTACTCAACTTTCCCTTAATGACAACCTGAACCCATCCGGCTGTTCAACTCAGCAAAGAGTCATCTCTGCAATGTCACACATACACATGCACATCATCCATGCATGCTGCTATCCTGAAAAAAAAGGGGGAAAGTGCTTGCCTCAGAGCTGCTGACATCATCACATCTCTTCTCATTCTTGAATATTTGGCCCTTTTCTCCTTGGCGATGCAATTCAATTTTAAGGCTCATGAGACTAAAGCGATTCACCTTACTCCTGTCTTCCCTGCAGGTGAGCGAGCAGGCAGCACAGCAGGGACACGGAAACATATTTTGTGTTTGCAAGTGAATTTAGTTGCTCTGAAAGTGTACACTGCCTTTTACACTCTCTCTGGATTGCCAAAAAAACCCCATCAATAATAAATTACTGGTAATACAGCTTTCGTTAACTAACTATTCTCCGTAAATGGAAAGTTTGGAAGTTGGTCATATGTAGGACTGATGCAGCCTGCTTTCCATCACGTCACATAAGTAGGTTATTGTTTTGCCTGAGGATGCTACTGACAGTGGGGTGCATGTGTAAATTTAATGCAATCCCAGTAGGGCATCAGTGCACTCCCCAACATGACCTGACCTGAACCAAAGGCAACAAAAATGTGTTCTTTGTAATATTATCCTGTCTTTCTTCTCTCTCCCCAACTGGTCACAGCAGATGGCCGCCCCTCCCTGAACTTGGTTCTGCTGGAGGTTTCTTCCTGTTAAAAGGAAGTTTTTCCTTCCCGCTGTCACCAAAGTGCTTGCTCATAGGGGGTCATATGATTTTGAGGTTTTTTTCTTTGTATGTATTATTGTAGGGTCTACCAAGCATTGAGGTGACTGTTGTTGTGATTTGGTGCTATATAAATAAAATTGAATTGAACTGAAATTGAAAAGGTTCATTATTTCAATTTTTTCCTTGTAATATTTCTGAATTCTG